ACTCTTTTATCTGTTTAACGAACTCTACTTTTGCAGGTATCGGCGTTACAAGAATGGTTTAGGATCGCAGAATGTTCTGAATCATTCTCCGTCCCTATCGCTACTTTGACTTTCGTTTTTCGAAACTCGCGTTTCTCCAAACTCAGTCAAAGTGGGGGCTTCTGTAGACACCCATTTGTGTCTCCCCAAAACCAAACCCAGTGATGAGTACCTTTCACGTCGAATCATAATCGAATGAAGCGAAAGTGTGGAAAGTCTTGTGTTGTGGAAAGTTTTAATTTCTTTTCTCTTCTCTCTGTTTTTGAAAACTTATTTTAAGAAAACAGCCAATCCAGTTTGGTTAGTCCATGATCTAGAGGAGGGCCTAAGATGATTTATCATTCCTAATGCAATTAGGAATGTTTTTAGTCTTCTAGATTCTTCTAGAAGGTTCTTTTCATTCCTAATTCAATTAGCATTGATAAATTGACTTTTGTTGACTTTTCAGAGTTTTAATTAAAATCAAAAAGCATTTTCGAGGAAAATATATAATTTTATCCTCCTGAACGGCAAAACTTATCTGATTTTCGAAAACGCGTCAAAAACAGGCTTGGCGCCTGTCTCCAAGCATTGGCGCCTAGAACCAGGCTTGGCACCTGGAGCCAGCCATTGGCGCCTGACGCCAATTAGCTGGTGCTGGTGCCAGCTCTGTTTTGCGTGCGCCAATCTCGTTTTACGTGCGCCAAGTGCTCTGTTTTGATATTTTATCTTTTTGGCTGATTTTCTCTATAAATAACGTATTAAAAACTCTTTTTTCATACATTAATTCTCACGGATTCTCAACTACAATCAGTTTTCAATTCTCTCTTCAATTCTTATTCTATCATTCATTAATTCTCATAAAGTTTTCATTCATCATTCATTCATCTCTCTCTTTTCTAAAATTGCTTTTTACATACAAAATTCCGCATTCATTAGATCTAGAAACACCTAGCCATATTCGAAGTTGCCTTCGCCCTAGACTTGAAGGTTTTAATTTCTGAGGGTTTGGTCCCAAATCTCTCTTTCAATTATTTAATTTAAATGTTTTGATTATTATTTTCCTTGAAGTTACTAACGTGTGTATTTTTTTATTAGAAAGAGGTACGAGGCATCAAAGTAAGTGCTTTAATGGTTTTTAATTGATATTATGATGTAGAAATCATGTTTATATTGTTATTATGATTTTCCTAGTATCATATTTAGGGAAAAGGTTATAATATCAAATATGCTTATTATGATTCTTGCGATACTTCCTATGTTCTTGCTAATATTTATGATTGTTAGTATCATGTTAGGGTTAAAGATTTGATTTTTAATGCTTAGTGACATGCTAGGGTTTGTTATTAATCTTGTTAGTATCATGCCTAGGATCTTGCTATTGTTATTATGCTTTAATATTAACATGAACATGATTATTATTATGATTATAATTTTATTATCATGATTATTTCAATTATAATTTATTTTTATGATTATTATTATTATGTTGCTTGATATTTATTTATCTTTATTCCTTGATCACGCCTTTTATGGTTGTTTAAAGAGAATTTGTACTTGTAATCACGCTTAATAAGATAATTAATAATCTTGTTTAGGGTTAATTTGATTGTAATTCAAGTGATCGCCAATAATAGATTTATTTGTGCATTAATATTCAACCAACATAGATTAAAGAGGTTTAGGGAAATCCTATTGATTGCATGTTAATTAAAAAGCGCACATGAATACGATCTGAATAAAGTAGAGGCCTATTATTAGGGCAGTTTCAATATATTTTAGGTTGGATTTGTACCATCATCCCCGAACCCTTATTTGGTTCTAGACCTTATGGAGTTGAAGATCTCTTGGATCGTTAAGGGGTGTAACCTTCACCTCGTGAACGGTTTACAAGTTCCTAAAACTTGTTGGCGAATCTTTTGCTCTATCTTCTTCCCTTTTAGACGCCACCGTACTTTAGTGTATGATCACAGTGGGGTACAAGCTAGGGGGTAACGCTTGAATTTATTCCCTACACTAAGCATTGGCTCATTAACATAAAAAAAGCACCGACATATAGGTTCAAAAGTGAAAAAAGCACCAACATATAGGTTCAAAAGCGAAAAAAGCACCAACGTACAGGTTCAAAGCAACAGAAGCGCTGACGTACAGGCATAGCAGAAGCAAAGTTCAAGCGAACTTTTAAAGATCGACAAGCGTGGGTCTTCGGTAATTTCCTTTGGAAAATTATCACATCAAATGAGGATGACTTCAAGCGAGGATATCTTCGACGACATTCCCTAGCTTGCGGAGTGTTGTCACAAACAGCTGAAGGTGATTTCAAGAGAAATAATCTTCGATGATATTCCCTTAGACGTGGAATATTATCATAGAAGAGGAGGATTGTTTCAGGCGAAGCAGTCTTCTAATTTGGAAGCAGTTACGGGCGTAGCGGTTTTCAAGTGGGATGACATTCTCTAGCTTGTAGGAGGTCATCAAATCAATCGGTTACTTTCAGAGGTGTGTGCTCGACGGTGCAAGATACGCGTTTCTTAAATCTTTAATCTGTTTAACTAACGACAGTTTTGCAATTATCGGTGTTACAAGAGTGGTTTAGGATCGCAGAACGTTCTGAATCATTCTCCGTCCCTATCGATACTTTGAATTTTGTTTTTGAAACTTACGTTTCTCCAAACTCAATCAAAGTGGGGGCTTCTATAGACACCCATTTGTGTCTCCCCAAAACCAAACCTGGTGATGAGTACCTTTTACGTCGAATCATAATCGAATGAAGTGAAAATGTGGACAGTCTAGTGTTGCGGATAGTTTTAATTTTTTTTCTTTTCTCTCTGTTTTTGAAAACTTATTTTAAGAAAACAGCCAATCCAGTTTGGTTGGTCCATGATATGGGTCCAATAATAGTGTAGTTGGAGGAGGCTTGGCAAGATCTTTCCAATGATATATTATAAGCCCAATTCCGATGAATATTGAGGAAATTATGGCCAATTTACTAAACTAGGCCCGGTTTGAGCCTTATGTGCGGCCCAATGATCTAGGGGATGGCCTAATATGATTTATAATGCAATTAGGAATGGGTTTAGTCTTCTAGATTCTTCTAGAAGGTTCTTTTCATTCCTAATTCAATTAGCATTGATAAATTGACTTTTGTTGACTTTTTAGAGTTTTAATTAAAATCAAATAGCATTTTCGAGAAAATTATATGATTTTATCCTCCAGTATGTCAAACTTATCTGATTTTTGAAAACGCGTTAAAAACAGGCTTGGCGCCTGGAACCATGCCTGGCGCTTGGCGCTAGTGTTGGTGCCTGGCGCTAGTTAGCCAGGGTTTGCGCCAGCTCTGTTTTTTGTGCGTCAGACTCTATTTTGTTTATTTTATCTTTTTGGCTGATTTTCTCTGAAAATAACGTATTAAAAACTCCGTTTTGATGGACCAATTCTCACCAGTTATCATCAACAACTAGTTTTCAATTATAATCACCTACAATCAGTTTTCATTCGCAATCATTAATTCTCATTCATCTCTCTCTCTTTTCCTAAACTAATATTTTGCATACAAAATTCCGCATTCATTAGATCTAGAAACACCTAGCCATATTCGAAGTTGCCTTCGCCCTAGACGTGAAAGGTTTAATTTCTGAGGGTTTGGTCCCAAATCTCTATTTCAATTATTTAATTTAATTGTTTGATTATTATTTTCCTTGAAGTTACTAACGTGTGTATTTTGTTATTAGAAAGAGGTACGAGGCATCAAAGTAAGTACTTTGATGATTTTTATTGATATTATGATGTAGAAATCATGTTTGTATTGTTATTATCATATTCCTAGTATCATGTCTAAGGTATTTTTAATATTAAATATGATTGCTATGATGCTTTCTATTCTCTTCCTAATGTTAGTATCATGTTCGGGTTAAAGATATGATTTTTATTGCCTAGAAACATGCTAGGGTTTGTTATTAATCTTGTTAGTTTCATACCTAGGATCTTGCTATGTTTATTATGCTTTAATATTAACATGAACATGATTATGATTATAATTGTTATAATTTATGATGATTATGAATATTATTATTATAATTATTTTGATGATGATTATTATTATTCATGTTTATTCTAATGATTGATTATTTATTATGTTGCTTGATATTTATTTTTATTGCTTGATCACGTCTTTTATGCATGTTTAAAGGGAATTTGGTACTTGTAATCACGCTTAATAAGATAATTAATTATCTTGTTTAGGGTTAATGTGATTATAATTCAAGTGATCGCCAATAATAGTTTAGTTTGTGCATTAAATTCAACCAACATAGATAAACAGGTTTAGGGTTAATCCTATTGATTGCATGTTAATTAAAAAGCGCACATGAATACGATCAGAATAAAGTAGAGGCCTATTATTAGGGCAGGTTCAATCTTTTTTAGGTTGGATTTGTACCTTCATCCCCGAACCCTTATTTGGTTCTAGACCTTATGGAGTTAACGATCTCTTGGATCGTTAAGGGGTGTAACCTTCATCCTATGAACGGTTTACAAGTTCCTAAAACTTGTTGGCGACTCTTTTGCTCTATCTTCTTCCTTTTTGGATGCCACCGTACTTTAGTGTATAATCACAGTGGGGTTCAAGCTAGGGGGTTTAACGCTTGAAATATTCCCTACAACATCATGGCTTGACCTTCTGCTAAGGGCATCTGCAACAACATTTTCCTTTCCCTCATGATACTGGATGTGGACATGGCAGTCTGTGAGAAACTCTAACCATCGACGTTGCCGCATATTCAAGTGATCTTGGGTGAAGATGTACTTTAGACTCTTATGGTCCGTGAAGATCTTACAAGAAACACATAAAGGTAGTGCCTCCAAATCTTCAAAGCGAACACAACAACTGCAAGCTCCAAGTCATGGGTAGGGTAGTTGACTTCATGTTTCTTCAGTTGTCTCGATGCATACGCGATCACCTTTCCATTCTGCTGTAGGACACATCACAGACCATCCTTCGAGGCATCACTATACACTTTGAATCCTTCTCTCCCATCAGGTAATACCAGCACTGGTGCAGTGGTCAATCGCTCTTTAAGGGTTTGAAAAGCTGCTTCACAACTCTCGTTCCACTCAAACTTGCTCTGCTTCTTCATAAGAGAAGTCATGGGTCTAGCTATCCTAAAAAAATCCTTAACAAACCTTCTATAATATCCAGCTAACCCCAAGAAACTACGAACATAAGTCACATTCTTAGGTGTAGGCCACTCACTCACCGCCTTGATCTTCGTAGGATCCACGGATACACCCTCCTTCGAAATGTAATGCCCTGAAAATGCAACTTTCTCCAACCAAAACTCACACTTGGAAAACTTAGCATACAACTTATTCTTCCTAAGAGTTTCAAGGGTAGTTCTCAAGTGCTCAGCATGTTCTTCCTCATTCTTCAAAGACACCAAAATATCATCAATGAACACGACTACAAACTTGTCCAAGTACTCATGAAACACTCGGTTCATCAAGTCCATGAATATGGCTGGTGCATTGGTTAACCCAAAAGGCATGACCGTAAACTCGTAATGTCCATACCGAGTTCTAAAGGATGTTTTTGAAATGTCTTTAACTGCAACCTTCAACTAATGGTACCCCGACCTCAAGTCAATCTTCGAAAACACACTTGCCCCCTTCAGCTGGTCAAACAAGTCATCTATCCTAGGTAGAGGGTACTTATTCTTCACAGTCACATTATTCAACTCTATGTAATCAATACATAGCCTCAAACTTCCATCTTTCTTTTTCACAAATAATACAGGTGCTCCCCAAGGTGATGCACTGGGCCTAATGAACCCCTTGTCTAACAACTCTTTCAATTGAGCCTTTAGTTCACTCATCTCAGCTGGTGCCATTCTATAAGGTGCTTTTAAGATAGGTGCATCTCCTAGAAATAAGTCAATGGTAAACTTAACTTCCCTCTTAGGTGGCATTCTCGAAATCTCTTCTGGAAAGACATCTAAAAACTCATTCACAATGGGTACATCCTCCATCCGTCTACTCTCATTCATACTCAAATCTTGAACACATTAAAAGTACAATGAAAATCCCTTATTCACTAGCTTCTTCACCTTCATAGCAGAAATGATCCCAAAACCCTTAGGCTTCCCTAACCGTCTATAGGACACTGTCTTACCCAAAGGATCACTCAGTTGCACCCTCTTCATCTCACGGTCTATCTTGGCCTTGTATAAACTCAGCCAATCCATCTCCAGAATTACATCTAAGTCCCCTAGGTTAAACTCAATAAGCTGATGGAAAGATAGCTTCTCCTATTTTCAAAGGCAAGACTTAGAATATTTTATTACAATGAACAAGTTTGCCCGTAGGCAGACTAACTAACACATCAATATGACTCGATTCAGTTAAGTTTAACTTGCGCACAACAAAGTAGAAATGAAAGAGTAAGTTGCTCTAGAGTCAAACAGAGTGTTGACAGAGACAGATTGGATAGAAAAAGTACCAGTAACTACATCCAAGGACCTCTTAGCTTCTCCCTTGCTCATCACAGACAAGCGGTCGGGAGTGTTGTTTCTTGCCTGGTAACCATTGTTGTTGTTACCTGAGTTGTTGTTGTTTCCGTTGCCAGACCTGTTGTTATTGGTGCTACTATTCCCAAACTTCCAATTCTGACCATTTCCCCTATTCCCCTGGTTGTTGAAGTTGTTAGGCCTCTGCAGGGTGTTCCCACCATTCCCACCATTTCCCTGTTGTTTCTGCTTGGTGTAACACTCATACTCCCTGTGCCCCCTTTTGTTGCAGAACCAGCAGGTCACCAAATTCCCATCACAGTCTCTCCCAGGGTGATTCCTCCTACACCTCATACAGTGGTAGGTTCTCTTTCCATTGTTAGCATTGAAAGAACTGCTAACATTTTGGTTACCCCTATCAAATGAGTTCCCATTCCTAGGCCTCTTAAAGTTACTCTGGTTCTCAGATTTCCCAAAGTCCTTCCTTTTTCCCAGGCGTAGCACTCGCACTAGCACTCCTAGTATTCAGATGGTACATATGGGCAACTGTCTCATAAACCTTGTCAAGGGTTTTAAAAAATTTCCGGCTAGGCCCTGTTGTAACTCGTTAGTCAATCCATGCTCAAACCTCTAAGACTTCAGTTCTTCAGTTGGTACTACCTCAGGAGAAAACCTAGAAAGGGTCATAAACTTATTATAATACTCAGAGATCGACATATCCCCCATAGCCAAGCTTATAAACTCCTGAGCCTTCTGTTTCTTCTGGAATGGGGATAAAACTTGTCCCTCAAGGAGGTCTTAAACACTTCCCACCCAAAGTTAGGTTTGGCCCTAACGGTCACATCATTGTCTCTCCACCAGATATCAGCTTTGTCCTTAAGGTACATAGTGGCCTGGTCCACTTTCATACCCTTAGGACATTTGAGTGCCACGAAAAGCTTGTCAAACTCTCGAATCCAATTTTCTAGGAAGGTAGGGTCAGCACCTCCCCTAAAAACTGGTGGCCTAACCTGGGCAAGCTTCTTAAATATCTCAGCTTACGGGTCGACTTGGTCTCCCCAGTTTTGGTTCAGATATTCAGCCAACAAACGAATAGCATCAGCTAAGGCAGCGTTCTCAGCCATTCTAGCTCTACGCTTGAAATAAAATAAATATGCACTCCATTTCAAATGAAACCCAAATACTATTCGCACATATTCATTGAATCACAATATTACATTTGTCACATAAATTAATTCAAAAGGGTACCTTGAGATTGCACCCCCTTGTCCCAAGCAAAACCGCACGATAAAAACACGATTCATACGTAGGATCAAATGAAGTTAAGAAAATGATTTCCCCATCCCGCGACACTCTTACTAAGTTTAATCACAGACAAAGAAATTCTCCCCAAAAATTATATGATCACAAAAATTAAACTTGCTCTTGCTCCCAAATAAAAGTAAAAATGAAGCTCTTAAAATAAACTACTAACTTCTTATTATAACTTATATAAAGGTATCAATCCCAAATAAAAACTCTGTAGCACTAGCTACTTATTAAGATTAATCATCCAAATCATACTATAATGAGGTTTTAATAACCATTATCAATGGAAAATGCCTTATTCATGCTAACTCCACCCTAACAAAGATAATCCTCAAGGTATCACATTGTTGTTCTTATCTTTCTTCTCATTATAATTATTAACATCAAAATCAAGATGATTTTCATCATCCAAGTCTTTAATAATTATTGCCTTGAAGAGTGGATTCGGATTCCTAGTAGCTCTATTCCCAGCATTTGGATCTTCAGGTGGTGGTTGTAGCCATTCAAGCTCATCCTCATATGGAAATTCAATAAGAGTATACTCATGGAACATTCTTTGGTAGGTTTTAATCTTATGCTTTTTATTCTTTGCTGTTTTAAACTCATGTATGCACTGGTAGTCTTCCTCCTCAGGATTATTTGGCGTCATAGTCTTTTCAAACATTTCCAGAGTATCTTCACTTCGAGTATCATTCTCATCCTCAGACACGACAATGGGGTTGTTCCTAATATCATTATTCATGCTTTCAGACGTGATTACTGAGTCGCTCATCTCTTTTCTACGTTAACCCAACGCAACGAACATTCAAAAAGCATAACACAAGCACATCACAAAATAAATCAATTAGAACATAATTACAACACGTTAAATAAATAAGAAAATAACACTTCCTATGATAATTAAATGCAAAGATATGTATGAAATATGCATGCATTCCCTTCTTAAGTCTACCCAAAGCTCACCAAGTAGACAAAATAAACTTCAAAATTGTTTTAAATTAAATGGTTTAAAACATACTTAGTTTCAAATAAATAAAAAAAAATTGTCTTTAAAATTCAAAATTTCAACCATTGAATAGGCGCTTAAGTTATACTAAGCTAATTGACTTTAGTGGTAATTAAATCTAACCTAAGCTCCTAGATAGCACTTTGTAACACCCCAATAATTCTCTCTTAAAAACCTATGAATAACCTGAACAATTCAAAGAGAATTACTGGCGTGCTATCACCACGTGTTCAAACATTAAGGCTTTTTCAGAAAATAGCAGCGAAAAAACTAAAATAAATATATATAAGTTTCAAAACCAGTAACCAAAACCAAATTAAATATTACAACTTGGAACCCTTAAGGCCCTTATTCAAAACTGAAACCAATAGAAATAGTATGAAAGCAAAATTGAGTTTAAATAACTTTAATTGTAAATAGTAAATAAAATAAGAAAAGCAACCAACTCTTCACTCAAGATCCCACCATCTAGAAATAGATGCTGCAAGTGTAAGAACATGTGGTTAATCTTCTCCCCAATATTTTAAGCGTAAAAATTGGATCGTCACAGGGTCATTGAAAGGAGAAGGCCATGACCAAATAAAGACACACACAAAAGCATGCAATCAGCAAAGCTGAGTACATACAAGCTGCAAAATAAATTAAGAAAATACCTAACATGCTACTAATAATCAAGCATAAGCATCATTAAATACAGACTCAACACATGATTCAATTATCAAATTTATTAAGACCTCACTAGTTAATATTAACTAACTCATTTATTTATTTCATTGGATTTAGCAATAGACAAGGTTGTCCGACCCATGATCCATTTGGAATATCAATAAAAGAAAAACCCCATGCCTCTTTTCGGAAACATCAATAAACATCCAAAGACCACGGGCGCGACTCCGTGGCCGTAGTTAGTATGAGATCTCCTAACTCCTAGTTTTAAAAAAAATTTGAAATAGGAGACTCGTAGATCAGACGGCCTCGATAAAAGTACACGGCTAATACCCCATGTACCCCAACCCCTGATTGTCATTACTCCAGACGTGCACCAATCCAGAGTTTTATTGCTCATCCATCTTGCACTTTACGTGTTTTACAAGTTTAAACTTGGTGATGACTCATATGCATTACAATACAAACATTCCAAACACAATTCAATCAAACAAGGCAAGTTTCCAATTTAAATTCTTGATTTATTAGTGACAACAACATTTATTATTTATTCCTTTACTACCTCGGTGTATAAACACCTTGAGTGCATAAGGCACCCCAAAACCTTAACCTCGTCTTATAAGACTTGAATTCTTCCTTTACTCATCCTGTTTGCATAATCATGAATGAGTAATAAATTAATCTTTACACCAATCACATACCTTTGCCTCTAAGCGCACCTTGCATAATTAGAGCACAAATAATACTTGAAATATAAAATAGTGCACATCATTTGAAATTCACAATGTATAACCAAACAATTTAACCCAGTCATTCCTATACATGATACTAAGTTCTCGATCCGTCCTTAAACATGCACCTACAAGCAAGGTTTCGTAACTTGTACGTACGTTGTGTAACAATCCGATTGGCCACTTTAAAACTAAAAGTCCCCTTCTACAAAGTCCTCTCCTAAACCAAACAATGAGAAATAAATCAATACCCAAGCAAATAAATTTACAGAAATACTAAACTACTTTAAAACCTCTTAAATCATCAAAATAAAGCCTTTAATTATCCCCCA